TATGTAAAAAAAAAAAAAAAAAAAATTTAACATTGTATAAGTACTAATGAACAGGTACTATATGTAAGTACCTGCCAGACCAGGAGGAGGACATCCTGTTCATTAAACAGAATGAACGCTCCCCAATCTGAGCTATTCTTCTTCCCTAACCTGCCTCATTTTTCTGCCTAAATGTTTTCTATCCCATACTGTATTGTAAAGTCGTTTTACAAAGTCCTAGCACATGTTGGTTTTATTTGTTATCCTGTCATTTTCTATCTCCTAATGCAGGGAATAGCTAATTTTTTCACTTTTCTTCTGTTATTTCAGATTATGAGTCCAGAGACAACAATATGGAGCTCATAGTAAAGCAGATTTCTGATGATGCTGAATCACATTGGATGGCATCAGGAAGCACTGAAAGGAATGTTCCCCAAAGTCAAGAGTTTTCAGAAGTTAGTGATCTTAAGAGCATGGTACAAAGGTGGCAGGTAAACCCCACTGTGGGGAGATCAAGGCAGACTCCTTCCCAGAAAAGAAATCTTGGTGCTATCACAGACAGTAACCGTAAGCAGAACACAAATGGTGAAAGAGGTCACAGATGTAATGATTGTGGTAAATTTTTCCTTCAAGCCTCAAATTTTATTCAACATCGGCGCATCCACACTGGAGAAAAACCATTTAAGTGTGGTGAATGTGGGAAAAGCTATAATCAGCGTGTGCACCTCACTCAACATCAGAGAGTCCACACTGGTGAGAAACCCTATAAGTGTCAGGTGTGTGGAAAAGCTTTCCGGGTGAGCTCCCACCTGGTTCAGCACCACAGTGTCCACAGTGGAGAGAGGCCCTACGGATGTAATGAGTGTGGGAAGAACTTTGGCCGGCATTCACACCTGATCGAACACTTGAAACGCCACGTCAGAGAGAAATCCCAAAGATGTACGTGTGAGGGCTTTGTATTTGGGGAGTAAGTAAGAGAAAAATTGTTTTATTAGCTTAGTACTATAAGATAGATGGGTGGTAATACTGGGAATAGTAGGAAGAGGCCAAGATTACAGTTTATTTGGTCCTTATTTATACTTAAAATTAAATACCTAATAAACAAAACTCTATGGGGGCTACCCTAACATTCCTTTTCCAGAGGTAACTGCTCTCAGCTCCTATTTGTTTCTTCTGGAAATTTTGCATTTTAAAATAACACTGCCATTGCTCGGCTCATCAACTTTAGGTGTTATCTGTTGACTTTGTATTATAGTAAATGAAGATTTAGCTCTGTTCCACACTTCTTTCTTTCTTCCCTCTTTCCCTATTTAGTTGTTTTACTTATTTTAAAATGATAAAATAACACTAGTACAGAAGTCTGGAGGAAGGAAAAGAGGGAGGGAAAAAAATCACACCTAACACCACCATCCTAACTAATAGAACTATTATTTTTTCCCACAAGCCTATTTTATGTAGCTGTACTTTTATTAGAGTATATTTAAATGTTAAACATACATTTTCCAGTGTTGCTCAGTCCTCCTGTTTGGTATTTTTGGCAACCAGCCATTGTATGGCAACATCATAATTTACTCAACTATCAGTTGTCGAGCTTGTGATTTTTTATTCCTTTGTCCTGACAACTGTGTTATACCTGTGACTTTTCTGTACTTAGGATTATTTCCTTATAATAGATTCCCATAAGTGGGATTAGTTGAAGCATAAAAATATTTTTATGGCCCTTGATACATATTGCCAAATTGCTTTTTAAAACAGTTGCACCACATATGAGAGTGTTGGTTTTACTGAATTTCTGCCAGGGTTATTAAAAAACTTTTTTTTTTAAACTAAATAAACAGAAGAGAATTCTTTGTTGTATTTATTTTCATTAATTTGGTTATGAATAAGGTTGAGTAATTTTCTTATTTATATATACTTTAAAATCTGTTTGACAACAAACTTATATATGGATGAGATCATTGTAAACTGTGCTGTGGGCTCAGTGCCTGTAGCACAGTGGTTAGGGCACCAGCCAGATACACCGAGGCTGGCAGATTTGAACCCAGCCTGGGCCAGCTAAACAACAATGACTCCTGCAACAAAAAAATAGCCAAGTGTTGTGGTGGGCACCCGTAGTATTAGCTACTTGGGAGGCTGAAGCAAGAGAATTGGTTAAGCCCAAGAGTTTGAGGTTGCTGTGAGCTATGTCACTATGGCACTTTACAGAGGGTAACATAGTGAGACTCTATCTCAAAAAAAAAAACTATGCTGTGAACATAAAGGCTTTTATTAGCATATTTTGGATAACTAAAACTAGCAAAAGATATTTTTTCTTTAAATTATGACTTTGATGCCCCAAGCCCAGCTACTTAGGATTCACGGTTACTTAGGATGCCCCAAGCCCACTGCCATGTCTTTCATTGTGGTGTAGAAATTTATCAAGCTCCAGTATCTTGGAAGTTTTCGATTGAGCTATCTGCTGTGCCAGCTTTAGCCCATCCTCCTCGATAGCTGCCTCATTTGGGAAACCCATCTGATAGAGCTCTGGACTTGAAAAGGCATTGCTTTAAAATACTATCTTTTTCTTTTATATCTTACTTGCAATTCTTCCTTTGGCTCATTTCCCAGTTAATACTTATCTACCTGTCCCCATTTTTTTGGATTTAAGGAGGAGCACTTTATATGCTCATCCAGCCACATTTACTGGGAGTCTCTAGTCTTGGGTGCTTGTGCTCTGCATTGAACAGAACAAGAGCGACAGCTCCTGCCCTCTTGCAGCTGGCAGTCTGTTGAGGATAGCAGACAGTAAAGGTGACAAGCATTCCCAGAGGAGAAGTGTGAATTGCTGTAGGAGGGAAACTGAGGCTAGAATACTGGCTAAGAGTAAGGAGTGTAGGGTTTGCTATTATCACCTACCCTTGCAACAGTATTTTTGGCTAGCCTATTTCTTTTTTCCTGGCTCCTAATCAGGTATTACCCTAACTTCCCTGAATAATCTTTTACTCCTATTTTTTCAGTATTTTTGGGGGGGTATTTTATTATTATTATTATTATTTTTTTTTTTTTTTTGAGTGAGAGTCTCACTCTGTTATCCAGGGTAGAGAGCTGTGGGGCCAGCCTAGAGCACAGTAACCTCAAACTCCTGGGCTCAAGTGATTCTCCTGCTTCAACTTTCTGAGTAGCTGGAACTTGGGACTATAGGCACCTGCCACAACACCTGGCTAATTTTTCTATTTCTTTAGTAGAGAAGGAGTCTCACTCTGGCTCAGACTGGTCTTGAACTCCTGAGATGAAGTAATCCCCCCACCTCAGCCTCCCAGAGTGCTAGGATTACAGTTGTGAGCACAGAGCCTGGCCTTTTCTTCCGGTTTTTGTCAGTTCTTATCATCCAGTTGTGTGTTGTTCTACCTAAATCTATTTGCCTAACTCCTCTTGGGATAACGAGTCCCTCCACATTTCCTATCTTCCCTCTCATATCAGAATTCCTTTCTCTCCTGCCTATGTAATAAAATCTTTTTTACTTTCCCCTATTATTGCCTAACTACAATCATTCTCACCACCCACCTAAGGAAGCCTCTTTTCCATCTCGTTCTTTTCATTGGGCATTCAAAGTTAGTTCTTTTCATTCCTGTTGACATCAAATACATACATGCTTCACCTCTATTGCTCCTGTCACATCATGGGCTCATCTGTCTGTCCTTATAGGTTATTTTTCTTCTGTAAAAGAACTGATGGCGTTTGCATTTGCTCTTCATTCTTTTAGGCAGTGACAAAAGAAGTAAGAATACCAAATTGAGTGTTAAGAAGAAAATTTCAGAATTTTCAGAAGCAGACATGGAACTATCTGGAAAAATCCAAAGAAATACTTCTCAAGTTCAAGATTTTGGTGAAGGCTGTGAATACCAAGGCAAGGTGGATAGAATGCAAATACTAGGACAAGCCTCTTCAAAGAGGATGAATTGCAGTGAAGTCACATATGTCCACAAAAAGTCCTCCACAGGAGAGAGACCACACAAATGTAATGAATGTGGGAAAAGCTTTATTCAGAGTGCACATCTTATTCAACATCAAAGAATTCACACTGGGGAGAAACCATTTAGATGCGATGAATGTGGGAAAAGCTATAATCAACGTGTGCACCTAACTCAACATCAGCGAGTCCACACTGGTGAAAAGCCCTACACCTGTCATTTATGTGGGAAAGCATTCAGAGTGAGGTCCCATCTTGTTCAGCATCAGAGTGTGCACAGTGGTGAGAGACCCTTTAAGTGTAATGAATGTGGGAAAGGCTTTGGGAGGCGTTCACACCTTGCTGGACATCTTCGTCTACATTCCAGGGAGAAATCTCATCAATGTCATGAATGTGGAGAAATCTTTTTTCAATACGTTAGTCTAATCGAACATCAAGTGCTCCATATGGGTCAGAAAAATGAAAAAAATGGCATTTGTGAGGAAGCATATAGTTGGAACTTGACAGTGATTGAAGATAAGAAGATTGAGATACAAGAGCAGCCTTATAAATGTGATATATGTGGAAAAACCTTCAGTTACAGCTCAGACTTTATTCAGCATTATAGAACTCATACTGCAAAGAAGACCTATAAATGTGATATATGTAGAGAAAATGTTGGCCAGTGTCCCCACATTAAACAACATCAGAAAATCTATTCTAGCACAAAAGCCCATCAGTGTAATGAATGTGGAAGAGGTTTCACTCTGAAGTCACACCTTAATCAACATCAGAGAATCCACACTGGTGAGAAACCTTTTCAATGTAAAGAATGTGGAATGAGCTTCAGTTGGAGTTGTAGCCTCTTTAAACATCTGAGAAGCCATGAGAGGACAGATTCCATAAATACCTTAAGTGTATAAGTGTATCTGTTGTTGAACATATCTTAATCAATTTTAGAGAAGTCTTGAAGAGAAACCTTACTCCCATAATGAGTGTAATAACAACTTCAAGCATTTTTCCAGCTTAACCGTCAAAACTACAGATAGATTGAAATCCTTCAGTTAGAACTCAGCCTTTAGGCACATTGGAGTATCCACAGAACATAGATACCTGTTTGATTCCCCCATTGAGGAATGGTTCAGTTAGCATCTTCATGCTTGAGAGTCTAGACAAAAAGAGGACCTATGGACATGGTGGATAACACTCAGTGACACTGGGAAAAGCCTCATGAACGCAATAGAAATAAGCTTTATTTGTAGCTTCTGCCTTGACAGCATAGCTATCTATTCAGGGAAGAGTGTAGTGAAAGAATTCTTCAGCATGATATCTGTCAGCAATGCCCTTTTTCTAGAAATGGTTATCCTAACCACTAGAACAATCCAGTCATCGTTCCCATCTTGAGTATTAACCCTGTTATAAAGAAATTGACTTAAGATATCTATATTTTGGCAAGATTGGGGTTTAGAGAGAGTAAGGTATGTGTTCCTGCTGCCTTATTCAATCTACTTCTCCATGAGACTCTTGACCTTGTTTCTGTTTTGATTCTACTAGCATCAAAGTTAGCTAAGAGAAGGAAGAGTTGAATTTGTAAATTTAGGAAAAATTCTGATGGTCAGTTACATCTCAAGGTGAAGGGAGAAGGACCTTAGGGGCATAGAGAAGATGGCAAAATGTGGTTTGTCTTACAGTACTTACCTGCAAGAGGGCAGCTAAATTCACAGGCAGAATTAGACCAAGGTGAATGAAGATCTTGGTCCTAGCCCTATGCCTGTCAATTCCCAGGTGGCCTCAAGGGTGAGAGTCATGGAATGAGTTTTAGTTTGCTTTGTAGCTAGAAGGGGAAATCAGCAATAATGAGTAACAGGCTGGTATGTAGTCCAGTTAGCTCCGCTTCATGGAAGGTCTGGGTGAGCATTCTGAGGGGAAAGAAGATGATGTGGATAAGAGAGTTCACTTGAGTCTTTGCTAGAGAGAAGGACCTGGGGCACTTTGAGGCCCTGCTTCTTCTGACTTGCTTGGCTTACAATAAATGCCCAATAAATATTTGTTGATTGTATGTGTTATACACTATGGTACCCTATCCAGGCCCTTTACCAACTAAGAGGGTATGTTTCTTCCTAGCTGCTCTCAGTTTGGGCAGCTAAATGCTCACAGCTCTCCTGCTTCTCTTCAGACTGGAGATTTGCCCTCAGAAGATGGGAGCTGCTTCACCCAGGAGTTATCTTCTCTCTGTGCCCCTAGCTGATGACTGATAGATAAGGGGTAAACAGGCTGGTTCACTTGCTTCAAGGAGAGTTTATGCTCCAAAATCCTGAGATCATGCCAGATGTTATCTGCACCTACATCCACTGGGCTCCCTTCTCTATCCTGTTTGATTCCTGCCCTCAAAGGCTTTTCCTGAATAGTCATACCCTTAATAAATCACGTGGCACTGAATCCCTGTCTCAGGCTCTGCTTTAGAGAACCTAAGACATTTGGTGCTAAGAGTGGTCCTAGGAAGCTGACTGTAATAGTGGGCTATGGATTTGCTTATTAGCCATGAGGCAGTGAAGACCACAGTTTGGTATCTGAGATTAGTAAAAACAGCATTTTTAGTGTCTGTGATTATACAAGGTCTGACAAAGTTTGTGAACTTGCCACCATGCACTTACATTGGCAGCACTGCACAAACAACTCAGGTTTCATAACCTTGGTATATCAGTGTGTGTTTGTGTCAACATGTGGTGGTGTCTTGCTGAATGGTGTTCATTATTGTTTGTTTTTATGTGCCGTTGAGAGAATGTTGGAGCTTGAATTAGAGCAACGAACAAACATTAAATTTCTTTTTAAACCTGTCAAGAATGGACGTGGAGTCAGGGACAGGTTAGTCCAAGTTTATGGAGATAATGCCACAAAGAAAACAGCAGTGTACAAATGGATTAAACATTTTTCTTTTTTTCTTTTTTTTGAGACAAAATCTCAAGCTGTTGCCCTGGGTAGAGTGCTGTGGTGCCACAGCTCACAGCAACCTCCAACTCTTGGACTTAAGCGATTCTCTTGCCTCAGCCTTCCAAGTAGCTGGGACTACAGGCACCCACCACAATGCCCAGCTAGGATTAAACATTTTTCTGAGGGGAGAAAAAGTATCACTGATGATAAGTGGTCAAGGTAGCCAGTATTGAGTTGACAAAAACATTGCAAAAATTCATTGAATTATGTATCAAAATCATTGCCTGGCTGAGAAAGCATAGCAGATGAAGTAAACATAGAGAAACAGGAAAATCTTAACTGAAAATCTTGGCATGAGAAGGGTGTGGCTCTTGCTTCACAAGAATGCACCAGCTCACACAGTACAGTCTGTGAGGGTGTTTTTAGCCAGTAAACAATACATTTATTGAAATAATCTCCTTACCCAACCTGTTCTGGCCCCAAATGACTTTTTTCTTTATCTGAGGATAAAGGAAAAATAAAAGGAAGACATTTTGCTGACATTGAGGACATCAAGGGCAATACAATGACAGCTCTGATGGCCATTCCAGAAAGAGTTCCAAAATTGCTTTAAGGGTGGAATAGGCATTGGTGTTAGTGCATAGCTTCCCAAGGGGAGTACTTCAAAGGTGACTGCAGTGATATTCATCAATGAGGTATGCAGCACTTTTTCTAGGAGTTTGTGACCTTAATTATCAGACCTCATGATATTATTATGATATACAGAGTAATTTTCACTGCTCTAAAAATTCTCTGTGCTCTACTTCTTCACTCCTTTCTCTCAATGCCTGGAAACCACTGACCTTTTAACTGTAATTTTTCAGTAAGTGATAGAAAAAGCAGACAAAAAGGGGAAATGTATAAAATGTGAACAACATAATAAACGACCTAATTGACAGGTATAGAACACTCTATTAGACAACTGAATGCACATCCTTTGTTAGCACATGCAGAACATTAACAAAAACTGACCATATGCTGAATCATAACGTGTCAACAAATTCAAGAAAGTTAAAATCAGAGGTCTTGGCTTGGCCCTGTGGCTCAAGCATCTAAGGTGCCAGCCACATAACACCTGAGCTGGCGGGTTTGAATCCAGCCCAGGCCAGCCAAACAACAGTGACGGCTTCAGCCCAGGCCAGCCAAACAACAATGACGGCTGCAACCAAAAAATAGCTGGGCGTTTTGGTGGATGCCTGTAGTCCCAGCTACTTGGGAGGCTGAGGCAAGATAATCACTTAAGCCCAGGAGTTGGAGGTTGCTGTGAGCTATGATGCCACAGCACTACCCAGGGTGACAGCTTGAGGCTCTGTCTCAAAAATAATATAAAATTAGAGGTCTCTGACTACAGTAGAATTAAGCCTAAAATAGATTTTGAAAAACAACTAGAAAGAAAGAATGCTGGGAAATCAAGCAATACATTTTATGGAACCTATGAATCAAAGAAAAAATCAAAAGTTATAACTAAAAATTATAACTAAACAAAATTATTGTTTAGTTTAATTATAACTAAATAAAATTATTTAGTTTAAAATATAATTTTGTGTATTATAAAATTATAAAATATAATGAAAAATTTTATAATTTTACAAAATTATATTTTAAACTAAACAATCATGAAAAAATGGCATGTCGTAATTAGTGGGATGTAGCTAAAGCCACAGAAAAATATATCACCTCAAATTCATATAGTAGGAAAAAAACTTGAAAATCAGTGATCCCATTATAAACAATTACCTAAAAGAGATGGGGAAAGAACTGAAAATCATACCCAAAGAAACTGGAAACAAACAACAAAAAATTTAAACAAAAGACCAATAATGTCAAACAAAAAAATTTAAAAGAACAATACGGCCAATAATTTTGGCCAGGTGTGGTGGCTCATGCCTGTAATCTTCCACTCTGGGAAGTTGAGGTGGGTGGATTGCTTGAGCTCAGGAGTTCAAGACCAGCCTGAGCAAGAGTGAGACCCTGTCTCTACTAAAAATAGAAAAATTAGTGGTATGTGGTGATGTGTGCTTGTAGTTCCAACTCCTTGGGAGGCTGAGGTAGAATCGCTTGATCCCAGGAGTATGAAGTTGCTGTGATCTAGGCGATGTCATTGCACTCTAGCCTGGGCAACATAGTGAGACTGTCTCTAAATAAATAAATAAATGCTAATAAATTTTATGGAACCCTGACAAAACTGACCAAGATGAAAGATAGTCCAAAAAGCTGGTATCAGGAACAGCTTCCCTCAGTTTATAGTTTTAATGCACAGTTCAACAGTACCTACTAGCCACATATGATTATTTTAAATTAAATTACACTAATTTAAATTAAAAATTCAACTCAGTTAAACTAGCCACATTTCAACCACTCAGTATCCACACATGGCTAGTGGCTACCACAGTGGAGATCTCAAATAGAACTTTTCTACCATTGCAGAAAGTCCTATTGGACTATGCTGTTCTGGAAACTGGTGAGTGGCCACCTCTGTGAAGCAAGATTTTAAACATGTTTTAGAATCTCCTAATAACTTGCCACCAGAAACTGGAGACCTGTCTGGGCAGTGTTCATTCAGGACTGGAAAGAAAAATTTGGGATTGTGGTTAGAACTAGCCATTGAAAAGCTTAGGGAGTACCACATATCAAAGGCAAAGAAGCAAAAGAAAGTAAAACGGAGTTTCCAGAGTGTGACATCATGTGTGTGAAATCTAAAGTATACTTCTAGCTCTCCAGTAGACTGTATGACAAGAATGGAGCAGGTACACTCTACCCAGAGCGATAGGGTGAGACTCTATCTCTAAAAAAAAAAAAAATGAAGCAGGTACAGTGTGAAGAGCTGCCAGAACTCTTGTTAGTTTCTTTTTCTTTTCTTTTTTTTCTTTTAGATGGAGCAATCCTTTATTTTTACATACTTTGATAAAGAAGTTTTCAGTAAACAAACTTTCCAGTGGAGAATGAAAATCAGCCTCAAGCCATCAGCTGCTGCTCTCTGTTCAGGGCCTAGGCTCCTCCTGGCCCAAGTGGTGAGGTGGAGGGGTATATTTCCCTTCCT